GCGTCAGTTCCAGTCCCGATTTCATCATCGGCAGTTGTGACCGATACACGGTATAAAACTGAAAAAATAAGAGTAGCTTATAGTTTTCGTTCTTAAACTGGAGCGCACTCCAGTTCAGGAGTTAAGAGTTTGTAGTTTCTAAATCGCCCCATGTAATTAAGGTAATCCATTACGGACTTAAATTCTGGATTCCGTATTCCAAAGCCAATTGCCTGTTCCCTTGCTCCCCTTGCTTCCCTGTTCCCCCTGTTCCCCTTGTTTCCTTTTCCGCGCTTTGGATTCTGTATTCCAAAGACCTGGCTTCAGGATTCCACCGCAAAAATTAACCGGATTTCGGAATCTAATAGATTACCCCAGATGGGGCTTTTTGAACCTTTATTTTCACCAACTGAAATTCAGTTGACGATTTTTCCAAAAACCTCACTGCAAACATTTTGTTTGTGGAATGACGTGTCTCCAGGTTTTTCATTTTCCCGATATAATGGATGTTACATAAATTAAGCCAAAAAACTGATTTTATTCGTATTTTCCCACCACATTTAGAGAGTTGCATTTTGTAAATAAAAAATGCCATAGGTGTCGCTGGTTTATGCTTAATGTTTTTCAATTGCCTGCAAACAAATATAACAAGCTACAAAATGACTATATTTGTACTCTCTTCAGTAGTAAAATTAAAAGAGTCCGTGGGGGGGGTGGGGAGGAGGGTGCACAACAGCGTTAAACACTCCCATTTTTTTTTTCACTTCAAATTTAGTATCAGTTATAACTGCGTGATATTACTCAGTAGCTTTTTATTCCAAATGTTATTATTTTTTAACAAAGGAATTAAGACATCTCATTCAGGGGAAGCCGAGGAAAATCATCCATGTATTTGAAATTCAAATTAGAATTGAATGATTTTGAATGCAATGTTTGACACGCCAATTTTCTAAGTTTCATTCACAATCATATGTCTGCTGGCAATTCCATTTTAAAATCGCGGTCCACGAACGCCTAATGTTGTAGAACAAATATATATTAATCGATCTATAGATAGCGCAAAAAAAAAAAAAACACTAGAAACTGAAATTATCTTTTCATGAATAGACAAAATAAGGTACCTGTCTTGCTTGATCTCTTTATGATTTTCTCCAACATATATTCTCTGACGCGGCTTGGCTTATAACCAATTGAGTGACTGAGGTATAATGCCGTTAGAGTGAAAACCCACAGCCTAAAGCCAGGGCCAACAATCATTTTCACCAAGTCTTTAGAGGCAAACCGCGACTAGGAAAAATTGATTGTTTGCTTTGTTCTAGTTGCTAGTGGCTTATAATATATTCACAGAATTTTTATTTGATGATATTTGCTCAGACGCAAGCGATGCAAACACATTGACATCTCTCAAACTTGGTTAACGAAAGGGAATAAATTTTATTGAAATTGCGGTATTGCAAGGTTTGTAAAAGCCTAGCTCTCAAATATAGCGTTTTAGATTTTTAAACCACTGTGACGTGATCATGATATTTTCCTTGCTCCCCTAGTTCCCCTTGTTCCCCTGTTTCCCCTGTTCCCCTGTTTTCCTTCTTCCCCTGTTCCCTTGTTCCCTTGTTCCCCTGTTCCTCCTTTTCCCCTGTTCCCTGTTGTCCTTCTTTTCCTGTTCCCCTTTTTTCCCTTGTTCCCTTTATTCCCTCTGTTCCCATTATTCCCCTGTTCCCCTTGTTCCCCTGTTCCCCTTTGTTCCCCCCGTTTCTCCTGTTCCCCTGTAACCCTTGTTACCCCGTTCCCCATGTTCTCATTGTTCCCCTGTTCCCCTGTTGCCCTTGTTCTCATGTTCCTCCTTGTTCCCCTTGTTTCCCCTTTCCCCCTTGTTCCTCTGTTGCTCGTGTTCCCCTGTTCCCCTGTTCCCCTTGTTCTCCTGGTCCCCTTGTTCCCTTGTTCCCTTGTTCCCCTTGTTCCCCTGTTCCCCTTGTTCCCCTGTTCCCCTGTTCCCCTGTTCCCCTTTTTCAACTGTTAACCATTTTTAGTCGTTAGACGCAAAAGTATGGACATTTTTATCCATTGGTCTTTTTTAAAAAATGTAACCGTTTAAATTTTTCGAGTGAAAAGTGTGTCAATTGTGCTTGTTTTGACTTCACTTGACTTTAGCTTGAATTGTCTTGTGGCTGATTGTCCAATTTTATTCTCAGCTTGACTGCATACTGACTCAAAAAAAGGCACCGATGGGATTCGAACCCATGACTTCCTGTTTACTAGACAGGCGCTCTAACCAACTGTGCTACGGCGCCCCTCACACCGAATTACTGGAAAATTATTCATCAACTTTACTTAGTGATCACAGCCTTCGATACGATATTCATTAATACCATAAAGAGATAATCTTATAAACTATTTTTAAAAGGAGGAAAGAACATTTCGAAGCCATCGTGACTGGTTTACATGCAATTTTCATAAAACGGAAAGTGCTGCGTAAATTCAAAATTCTGATGAAAAAAAAAAATTGGCCTATCCTCCAATGTAGTCCACGCTTTGTCGCGGAGAAGACTGAAAACGAAAAAGCAAAGAGGGCAAAAAAGACATACTCCATGGCAATTTTAATCTCGGCTGTTTCAGATGTCTTACTGCTTGAACATGGATGAAATCTCAGCTATCTGAACGCTGTTTTTAATGAAAGAGTTAATGAAAAAGCTCCGCTTTAACTTCGTGGTTACCAGTGGTGTTTCCCGCGTGCAGCGCGATGCTTCAGGGCCGGGCACAAGCCGAAACATATCTTCATATCTTCGAAGCCGCGAGTGGCCATTATGAAGTCTTGATCATAGTGAATGGAACGTCCTTTCATAGGAACAAGTGGTCCGTTAGCTCAGTAAGCAGACCGTGGTGCTGATAACGCCAAGGTCGTGAGTTCAATCCTCACATGGACCATTTGTTATTTCTCCCGTTTTTTTTTTTTTTTGTTTTGTTTTGTTTTTTTTTTTTTTTTTTTTGGGGTTCTTTTTTATTTTCCTAAAGAACTTTTTTTTTACATTTCTTTTTTTTTTTTTTTTTTTTTTCTGTTATCTGTTTGTTTTATTATCGTATTAGGTGGTCTTGACGATAGTGTGTGGATCGTCCTTTCATAGGAACAAGTGGTTCTTTTGTTCAGTAAGAAGACTGTTTTTCTTTTAACTCCAAGGTTGTTAGTTCAATCCTCTTATGGACCTTTTGTTATTTCTCCCGTTTTTTTTTTTTTTTGTTTTGCTTTGTTTTTTTTTTGTTTTTTTGTGGGGCCACATTCAATTCCCCAAACGCACTTTTTATCAAGCTCTCTATCTTCTTTTTTCAGTATTTGCTGGAACCGGTTTGATTACACCGGCTACTCCAAAGAAACATCAAACAAGAGCGCGGTAAAGAAAGCCTCTTACCTTTTAGTAATTTAGGTACCTTAGTACTAACACAGTCTACACTGATGAAAACGCATGAACGTTTTGCATTTTGGCTAAGGGTCCAAAAAAAACAAAGAAAAACGGAGTTTTTACCGCTCGACTGTATTAGTAAATAGTGATTTTTAATCGAAGTGAATTCCTTCATTTTTTTTAATGTTAAACATGCAAATATAAAAATCGTTGAAAGAAATTTTTGACTGGATAAGACACAAGTCAAAACAACCTAGAGACGGTCGCCGGCATTGTTCTTACAAAAAAAAACTAGGAAATTATGAAAATGTATAAAAATGAGAGATTAAAATGTTTGTTCCGAGAGAAGATATTTGATCGTGTCATTTGAAACGCCTTCAAACAAAAAAAAAATGATGAGTGAAATAGGAAGTAAAACAACAATGGAGAGAACGCTGGTGGATGAAAACAACTTTTTTCGAATTAAACAAAAATATTGATATGTATCATGGCTATCGCATATCCCTTTTCTCTTTAGAAACCAACTTGACATGCACAAATTAATATAAACGAACTGATTTGCGTCGAGCACTCACTCGTTAAAGGTTTGTCAGTACAAGTACAATTGTATTAGCACATAACATATCACAGTGTGAGATGTTTATGTCAGAAGTGGCTTTAATGAGACGTACATCGCTTGAAAGCTTTTTAAGTCATGTTGGTTGCTGCGAACTCAGAGCTGCGACAAATAGCTGTCGTTTTAGTCACGTGACTCTGGTAACCTTAATTATAAATTGTGATTCGTGAGTAATAACAAAGAGGGGCTAGAGTTAATGAAAACAAGAAATGAAGACGGAAAGTATTTGCCTTCAGCTTACGCTATTCTTGTCAGGTAAGTCAGTTCTTAAATTATACAAAGGAAATGAAACAGAAAAAAACATGTCAAAGAAATAGTTTTTTCGACAAAAATGAGGCTTATAAGAATTGAACTTCAGATAATTTAAGACAAAGAAAACTGGACAAATCGATAACTAAAATGCTTTAAAACAAATTTAAGCATTAAACTGCTAATGATTGTAGCTTTTCCTTCTTTCAATGAATTTCGGTAAAATGTACGATTCTTTTATTTCACTGATTTTTTTCTTAGCAAAATTGCGATTCACAGCACAATCACACATTAATAATTTAACACTACAGCTAATGGTCAAGAATGGTCTCGTTTATTTTTCTGCTCCTTTTTAAATTTATTCCCCCAGTTGAGTACGTGAGCGAAGGGACATTGCTGTCAGAAATTTAAATTTGCAAAGTATATTAATATTACAATTACTCGCCAGACATCCTGCACAACAATACATAGGTAGTATTATAAGATCAAAACAGATCGCGGCATAAATATTTATGGTCAACCAAATAGGGAGTAAATTTACTTGCTCGGTTTGATATCTTAATTCAAACCCAACTCGCAGAATGTGTATTTCCATTAAAATCAATTTTAAAAAAAATAAATTATCTGATTTTTTTGAAGACGTTTCATTTTCGTTTTAGCTGAAGATTCTTCAGACTCATGCAGAAATGTTATTATTTGCTCGGATTCCATTCATCCAATGTACAGTGAAAATCCTTTAACAGGCAGATGGTTTGTTTTGTTTATGTTAACTCTTGCGGCCAAGACAAGTGAAATGACCATCACAGAATAATAATTTAGCTGTAAATTTTAAATGGACTCTGCTCCGACTTGCTAACATTCATCAATCATTAAATATCATCAGAATATCATCAGTTCCACTCCACAAAAATGTTTTCTACAGGAGTCGCTGCTTCGGCTGATTGCTAAAACTATGAATTTCGGAAAAGGTTTCAGCTCGGCTATCAAAAGCGGCTATCAAAAGCGGCTATCTTCGTTCAAAGAGAAAACATATTTCCCTAGGAATACTAATGACTCCTTTTCCTTCGTTTATTTTAATTAGCTATACTTCATTTGAGGCTAACCGTCTCCTACGGTAAGTACTTTATGAAATAAACCTGTAAGTGTCCTTTTCGTGTCTATGTCAATTAAGTCCAGTTTTTTTAACTACGTTTTTTTAGAAAAAGAAAAGAAAAGAAAAGACAAAGAGGAAAAGACCCCTTCAAAACAAAAAGGGGATTGTTTGTTTGATTGACTACCGTGACCTATGATTCGTCTATGCTACTGCCTTGGCAGCTGATTTTGCGAAGCTCCGTCTCTTCGTAATTTATTATAGTGAAAGAGGATGTTTATCTTACTCGTAATCATCTTCCCTAAGGCTCTAAAATTTATGATCGCCACGAGGGCTAGGGCTTGATTAAAGATAATTAAAAATCTCTTTACAAGCCGGGCAAGTGCCGTGATCTCCAAGAACTGTCCCTTCAAAAATGAAACATTAGTTCTTCAGCCTATTACAAGCTGAAAGACTAACTTCTTCCTTAAAACGATGTTTAAGAAATATTCTGCCGTTACATACGTGGTATGGCCATTTCAGTGTGTCAGTGCGTCGGGGCCATCTTGGATTAGAAAATAGATGTAAATTGGGGATAGTACGCAATGCAATGAACGAGGTGTTTCCTTAGGCGAACACTCACCTTATTCGTTTTATTACTATTATTATTATTATTATTATTATTATTATTATTATTATTATTATTATTATTATTATTACATCATTTACGTTTTTGCTATTTTTCAACATGAGTGGGCTATAATTCTTTCGTTCTACAAAAATACCTTGCACATGACTCTAGCCAAGGTCATTGACTAAAATTGGAAATGAAGAGCAACAGAAAGAGAAGATACAGATTGATTTTGAAGATCATACATGTATAAATAATTTGTAACACATATTACTTCTTAACTCTTGTAAACAGAACTTGATGGTGGGGTTTCGTTTAGGGCAAAGACAAGTTTCATCGAGTACAAATTGAATGATACTTCATCATTCCTTGGAGCGTATTTGAGACTTGAGTTCTCGTCCACCAAATGCAATGGAGATTTACTGCTTATAACAAGTAGAGATACCGACGATTTGTATCGAATTTCTTTCCACGAACAAAATAAAGCAACTTTTTACTACAGAATTAACGGTGAAGAATTTGAAGTACCAGTGAGTTTGCCTGGAAATCTAACCTTCTGTGATGGGCGACGTCACTCGGTGGAGTTCAACAGGTATTCCAAAACGAAGACTGTGACCTCAAACGCTGACGATGGGCAGCAAAAGAATACTAGAGAAGATCGTCCGGGAATGACACGAATTGGTTTTAGCAAACCAGATAAAATTGAGCTTGGTGGACTATCAGGGAATAAGTTCGACGGATGTATCTATAATGCAATTGTCCTGTTCTACTCGTCAAATATCTTTACAAATATCAGCGTGAATGTAATAGAGCGATACACTAAGGAAGATCCTAACGTTCGTTCTGCCTATGTGTTCCTTGGGGCTTGCTCTGGCACCGAACATGAAGGTAAGATTCAGTCATCAGAAGCTGTCTCTTTCGAAACCTACTTTCAGCCGGAAAGTTAGGGAGATAATTGAAGTAACAGGATATAGAACTTGGGTTCACACAAGGGAGCTAAGCGAGGCATATTTTCAGTTATATGATTACCAAAAAAATCAGTGTTCTATCCACGTATTCAAAGAAAATAGGTTATTTTTGCCTGGTTCACGAGTATGACTAGTACTAAATGTATTTAAAACCAGAAAATTAACGCTAACGACGTTTCTCAAAATGTTTAGCTACTTTTGTGACATATTATTTTAGTCAATTATAATCCGTGAAAAAAGTGCTTTTCAATTTCTTCCGCACTGACCTCGTCTAGCCCTTTGGGGGCTAGACGAGTGTCCGAACGAAGGCCTCGTTTCGGCATCCGGCCAGTTTGTGGATGATGTGGATGATGTGGATCGTCTCTAAAACGCCCCTAAAATAACCATTTCTTCTCACTATGGTTGTGTTCAATGAGAAACAGCTGTAAACTACACATCTAGCTGTTAGTATAAACTTGAATCAGTTCAACTAGCAACTTCTAAAGAATCCACTGAGCTTGGTCTTGCGTGCCCCGCTATTCTTTGATTTAAGAAGTGCTCGGTACAGTCTTTGGCGACGATATAAAAAATTATACTACTTATTCGTACTGCCCTTACAGTTGAATTCTTGTTACACCATATTTTATAATACTATTACCACACAGATGAATGTACAAGTTCTAGCAGTAACAATCCCATGAAAGCAGAACGCGGTGTAATAACAAGCCCGAGGGTCATGGAAGCAGCACAAATCACTCGCTGCATATGGTCTGTTACTACGTTGCCGAAACGTCGATTCAAACTAACGTTTTTGCATTACAATGTCAGTGGATCTTTTTCTTGCTCCGAGAGTCACGTCATACTCTATGATGGAACTGAATTGACCCCGTCGAATATTCTTGGAAGATTCTGTTTTCCTGCATCAAATAAAGTAATTTACACCCGTGGGAATAAGATGGTATTGGACATGATTCTTCCTAAACGTCACTACCTTGACTTCGTTGCTGTGTATGAATCCGTTGGACTCCATGAAGGTAAGCTTTGTTTAGGTACGGACCATTAGAAAAGTTATGGGGGTGGGGGTGAGGAATTTTCGAGCCGCGGGAATGTTTTTTCGTTATCAAATTCTTTTTTGAATTTCTTTTAGGCCGTAGCATGAACATTTTGTAGGGTTAATTGGCGTGCATGAATTTTCTTTTCATTTAATTTTCCCTTGCGCGAATATTTTTTTGTACCTCGTCTTCAAGGCTCGTGGGCTTTTTTCCTTTTTTTTTTTTATTTCTATTTCATTAATTTTTAAAAGAGAAACATTTTTAATCGAAAAACTAGGATAAGCTGTAAATATCAATGAATATACCTCTGCTGAAGACCATTATGTCGTTCAACTGATAAAGTGAGTATTAAATAAAATTTAAGTTGAAGTGACTGCTTGGCCCGACAACTGATCTTGAATTATTTCTTTTTGTCAAAATTTTATTTATTTCTTTGGTGTCTTTCCTGTTTGTTGTTGTTGTTGTTTCATGTATGTTAATCCGTTGGCGTATACAGCTCGAACCCTCTTTTATCAAAACGTGGCCTGATACACAACTAATTCATATGAAAATCAAATTAATTTGCGTTTGAAAGACAAATGCCGCATTTCCGTATGAATGAGTGATCACCAGAACTTATTTTGACATAGAAGGTAAATTTAAGTAATTCGGAAACGACCCATTAAACTCTCATAACTTGTGACCTCAAGCTGCCATAATCGTGTGACAAACTGACGTTGGGTTAATTTTTTTCCGTTATGTTAAGTGGGGAAACCCTCAGGCCAAAACCAATTACAACTGAATTATACATGCCTAGTTTTAGGGCGAAGAAAAACAAAGAATGGTCAATACCACTCCCTTTCGCTAAGGATAGATTAAAATCAACTAACTCAAAGTTTCCTGATACTTACCCACCATCGATCCTGTATTAAGAAGGACGAGTGATTTGCTGAGCCAAATGATCGGTTATTCCCGAGTACGTTGGCTTGTTGCTTGGCTATGCGAGCTTGTTTAACTGGTGATTTACGTTTACAGGCCCTTGTCCGATTAACAGAACCCTAAAAGGAATGTCAGGATCATTGATGAGTCCTAACTTTCCAAATAACTACGAATCTGAACAGGAATGCTCATGGATCATATCGGTTCCACAAGGTTATCACGTGCGTCTGTTCTTTGACCACGCTGCTGAATTTCACATCCATTCGTGCACTAATAAGACTTGTGACTGCGACTTCCTTGAGGTTCGCCAGGGACGAAGCTCTGAAGGAAAGCTCCTTGGCACATACTGTGGGAGTACAAAACCCTCTCCTATATATGCTAGCGGAAGCGATGTTTGGCTACGATTTGTGACTGACAAGAATTCAAACCACAATGGATTTAACGTAACATTTGAAGCTATTAACAGTCTTGCAGGTATGAGGTCATGAAGACTCTGAGTCGAATCCCTGTCTGTTCTCTAAATATCTAGTATGAAAAAATCTCTTTCCTCCGTTTAAAAAAGCTCACGCTGGCGGCTTCGTTACGTGATTTACATCCTTTGGAAAAAAAGGAAAGAAAAGATATAGAACCTTAATCACGCGCAAGCTATAATCTTCTCAGTTGCATGTTTTAGAGCAGCTATTTGCTTTTTCCCTCAGATGGCTGTCCGTGGAATAAAACTCTTACAGGACACCGGGGATACATCACCAGCCCCCTTTTTGCACAAGACTATCCCGGCAACATAGATTGCATCTGGAGAATCCATGTCACTGGGAACTACAGAGTGGCATTTGTGTTCTTGAGGCAAATCAACCTCGACCCAAACTGCACTGATGTCTTAGAAATTAGAGATGGACTGGACGCCATCAGTCCACTGCTAAGACGTTACTGCTCTTCTGAGCCCACTCCTCAAACCATATTTTCTAGCGGTAGAGAGATGTACGTGCGTTTTAAGTCTGACGGATATAATCGTCGAGATGTTTTTAGAGATGAATCAGTGGCGCCAGGATTTCATGCTACCTACTTTGTCACACGCGTCAAGTCAGGTAGTGTATCAGCAACACCTGTTCAAAAGCTATTATATAGATTTGGCCAGGACTAAAAGCAAAGCTCTGGTTAATAATACTTATAAACAGAAAAATTAAATCGTTTGGTGCTAAACGGAGACGACAATGAAAATGGCTTCAAGACTAATAGATCTAGTAGCAAAAAAACAAATTGCACGTGCAGCACACTTTTTCTTCTAATTAGCAAAAACCAAATTTGCACGTGCAGCACGCTTTTTTGTCTTTCCCTTGCCGTTGTTTTGAACGACTACAACGCTGTTTTGTACGACTAGAACGTCAAACTTCCTAGTCACGTTGCCATACATGTTGATTGAGTTATTTTACATTGGTATGCCTATGGTGCGAACGGACGGTCGCTCGCTCGGTGTACGGTAACGTGATTACCAAATTTTCTCGGAAGGGTAGATTATCACATTTCCTTAGCTATGGGGCTCTGCCCACTCGCGGCGCGAGCTTCGCTATTAAAGAGCTTAAGCAACGACGACAGTAATGGCAACGTCAGAAAAGCCATAGTTTTAGATTAGCAAAAACAACAATTCTGCACGTACAGTGCTTTTTTATACATTTCTTTGCCGTCACTGCATGACGACCAAGCAAGACGTGCATGAAAGTGCCTAGTTTCACGTTTTATGGTGGACGCAACAATAAGCCAGGAAGAATTTTTCTCTTTTTCTTAACTTGAATATTATGGTTATGAGGAACACCAGAAAAGTTCGGCTACACAAAGTGAGTGAGTTGGAATAATGGCGATGAAGATTGGAACAGCGCAAATGGACTCACTGCCTTTGCCGTCCTCGGATCCGTAAGGTTTCTAATGACAAATGGACCGTGATACACATCATGAAATGACGTCAAAATGTTGAAACTCAAGTTGAATCACTAGCCCCAGGCAATTGGTTCCAATTGAAAGTTGGCAAGCTACAACTAGTTGCAAAAATACTTGAGACACTGTACCGTATTTGGGCATAGATGGCATGTCCATGATCTTGACCTTATGAGATTCTCCCTCCTCCTTTGTGAAAGTTGCTATTAAGCAATACAAGACCATGCTCAAACCTTGGAAGAACAAGTGTGAATGGCCATGGAGGAGAGGGAGAAGGTGAGTCTTCTTACAGATGTATGACTAGCAGGAATAAGTAAAAAAAGACTGCTTTTTCGTCGGACTGACTCAACTTTTGCAACTGGTTGTAGTTTCATAACCTTGTAATTAATGTAATGTGCATATTAGGCTTAATGCCTTTGTTAATTTCACAATATGATCCGTAACTATAATAATTATAAACCGTACTTATTTCCTTCTTTCAGATGCATTCATCTTAAAAGGCAGTATTTTCACCATGGTTTTGACAGTCCTCCTTTGTACCTTCCGCTGAATGACCTGCTAAAAGAATCCAAGGTTCCAACGGCAAACGACACGAGTGCTGGGAGCAGGCCATATGTCATTGTATGTCTAGCTATGTCTTACCATTACGGAAATTTTGAAACTGTTCTACCTTAACTTACTTATTATTTTTCTTCTGGTCACAATTTCGCTTTCCTGGCCTTGTTAAAGCAGAGCGCATAATGTAAATTTATGCTTTAAGTGCATTTTGTCAGGCAACTGGGTTTTTTGCAATCAACCAGTGGATAGTCTTAAAGACTTAAAGGTTAATGGCGCTGGCGAATAGTCTCGACGAAGTGCTAATGTGTTGTATTGGAGTAACACGCTTTTAGGGCCTGATTCTTTGCTATTACAAAAGCAGTGATCTTTAAGTTCTATCGGTTATTGCAATTGTACTAAAATAAGTTAATAGCCTGCTTTTTGCCATTGAAAAGCCCTATTTGGTTGGAGGGCTTCTAGTCATTAAGGTAAAAGAGTGGAACTGGTAACGGATATTTGACTTTTCTGAAGTTTGGAAATAAAATTTTTATCTTGATGGGGGAGTTACTTTAGAACCTTACCTTAAATACTAGCTGTACGAAAAATGCTATACGACGGAATAGAGGAATTAACTCATGTGACTATGTTGTTGTTCATCGGCTTCCATATTTGCCTTGAGAGATAATAGTCTCATGAGATTATATGCCTTACCTTTCCTGCTGTTTTTCAAGATTGATCATTATAATGTTTCTTTTACGTCTCCTTCGATGAAGAAGGATAATTATTAAAGCCAAACCATCAAGAGCAGTCGATGAGGCCCAGTCTGCTCAGCTTACTTTTGCATCGCGACCTGTCCAACAACGCTAGAGACGTTTACAGTCAAGCCAAATAGACAAGCGTACACACCAAGATTCCATCAGATTTTTAACGAATTTATTATTTGAAAGGTTATTACCGTTAGTAGAGGTAGACTCTGCATCGCGCTAGCGCAAAGTGAGCAGGAATTCATATGCCAGCTTGTTTTGTTTGAATTTGATATAAACGTACATAAAGCAATTTTATGCATTCAAAGATTTTTCAATCGGACCGAATGCTGAGAAGATGAAGCCAAAAATTCACTGCTCGTTATAGATGCAGGAGTGTAGATTTCAATTTGATACTAGTCTAGGCAACGAGATGGTAAATGAAATCTTTCAAACTTTCAAATAATCGATTCATTAATGGAACGCGAAAGTGGCGTGACTTTAATGATATCCTGACTATGCTACAGCGCAATTGAAAGAACCCTCGAAGTTGTTACCTTTTAATTTCTCACATTAGGATTAGGATTACGATTTTCAACATTAGCTAGGCAACACTTTGCTGGCTAAAGGATCTAAAGGACATTATGCCGAAAGCAGAGATTCGTTTGATGAATATCATGCTCGTTCCCAGGTTTCCCGCCCCCTGAAGCTACGAGGAGAAGAAGGAGTGAACCTAGCGCGAAACGCCGTCTCCACTGAAACAGGCCATTATCTTAGTTGCACTGAGCAGTACATTGTCGTCTCTCGATTTATGTACCAAAAAAAATTATTTATTTATCAATTTTAAAACACAGTTGCTGCAATTTAATTTAGAAATTGGTTAATGCACCCAATTTAAGGTAATGTCACGTGATATTTTTTTTTGTTTATTTTTATTTTTGACCGTTACACAACATTGTTAATTTATAATCTTTTCTTTTTCTTTCGCTTTTACAATACTGTACATTCCTATGGTGATATAAACTTCGAGCAGTCATTGAAACAACGTGGACAAAGAAAAGCCTCAAAGGCTGAAAATGTCATCAAATATTGTTAATGATGTCTTTACCTTACATCGGCCAGCTAATATTACAAGCTTTTTGAGTAAACGTAACGTCAATGCTTGTATACGTAACCCACGACAGCTGACTTACTGAAATAACTGGTCACTACTCACAGTCTCCTCTCGTATCTGGCGTAAAACGAAAAAAACGTCCACTGGCTTAAGAATGTCTTCTTCCAGCAAACGAAGCTCCTCTTCGCTCAGTTTCTTAGCAGCAGCCGTGAGGCGGCCATCAAACTTTGGTTTCCAGTGATCGATGGTTGAACAGGGAGTGCTTGAAAGACGGTTACGCCTACTGTTGCTCGGATCACTGGCCTGGCGTTTAGCATTTTTGTGCTTGTTAAGTGCCTCCGGTCTGGACGTAGACATCGTTTTCGTCAGCGGTTTGTGAATGTTAGTTTGATCGGGAGCTATTGCCGAGAAAATCCTCAAGTTTCGTTGCCTTTCTACTTCTTTCAACACCGCAGTCATGTTGGGGAATTTCTCGATATCAATGCACAAACTCATGGTTGCAGTACACTCTTCACTGACCAGGGAGAAAAAAACTAGGAGCGTGGAAAATAACCTCCGTACTACTTCGCTGATAGATAATTCTGTTACTGGCACTGCTTTTTTAAAACGTTCCCGCTATTTATAGATGTTAGGGATTCACTGATGAATTGAAACATTCTCCTCAGCATATCGTTCCACTTTCAAGCATTCGGGTGACAAGAAAACCGAAACTCATTAGTTACCACGTGTCGTAAATACGGTTAATTGAAATTTTATGCTGGGTATTTCCGGTACGTCACGACTAGAAAGCTAACCTGCGCTGCAGACGTAATTTAACGAACTTCACCAGAGTTTGGTTTCTTTTGAGGCGTGGGCTACTAGAAAGCGAAAGCAGTTAATTAAACCTACCACGTAAATCAGTACTCATCTTGATTTAAAAAAAGTTATATTCCGTTGAGTGTGACGGTAGTAAGCTTTTTTATGCTATTTTTGTTCACTAAATAACGATTGCTAAAAGTCCCGATAAAAACCCTTCTAATATTTCTGTTGCGCAACGATTCACACTCTTGAGCTTTGGGTACCTGCAGGCTCCTGGTACCTGTGATTTTTCTATAAACTTGTACCTCAAAATTTCAGCTTTATATGCGACAGCAACGAGTTACATCAAAAGGTAACCAGTAACAGGTTTAAATTAATAAAAAAAAATAGGCTGTGCAAAGAGTTATACAGGTCGAGGAAAATGTTATCCACCGAGGATGGGGTATAATTTTCTCTACGTCACAAAGAGCAGGTAATGCCATTAATTAGCTACCACGGGAATTACGTTAGTAATTTGGTTTCAATTACAAGATGCCGCCCGGTATCGGCGCACGGTACTTTCATTACTGATGGTCAAGAATTTTTATGGTGAGGGGTACCCCGCAGGATTCCGTTAATGAATCGATTATTCGAATAATGATTCCATCAGTCATTGCGTCAACCAGTATCAAATTTAAATCTGCATTCCGCGATACATAATGAGCAGTGAATAATGATGATGATGATGATGATACCTTTATTTAATTGTCAAACTGTAATAGCGGTGTAGAACCACTATGTGGGGACACTGAAAAAGTTAAAATAACTAATAGATTAATAAATTAATTTATTAAAGAAATGAGAAATTAGGAAAAACTATAAACAGTATGTGCAAGTAAGAAATTCGGGAGAACTATATACAATATGTACAGATGTATCCATAATCGTATAAATTAAGAACTGCAAAGAGAGTAGTTTGAGCAATTATTATCTCTTCAGTAATAGCATACTAAGATCCAATTTTCTGATGTTATATTTCACAACGTGGACGCTTCTTTCACGTTACTAGGAACAGAGCTCCATATCTTCGGGCCGACATACTTGAGCGAGTGCTTTCCAAAAAAGGAGACTGTGTTAAATCTGGGTGTAGTGAGGTCATGATTGCGCAATTTATACTTAACTGCAGGCTGTTCAAATAAAGCGCTAATGTACGTAGGGGACATGTTCTCCGGTTAACTTTCTACATGACAAAAATCCTTGAATGGATAGAATTGCTCTGAATTTATTTACATCAATTCAAGAAACCCTTGCTGGTAGAAATTTCATAACTACCTCGCGTGTGAATAGCCCTTGTGGGTGTTTAAGTCATATGAGCAAATTTCACCACCAAGCCTGGTTTTGAAATTGTAAAGTTACGAAGTTTTGCATAAATGAATTCCCGAGGTAATAGATTTGAAAAGAATATTCACGCACAAAGAGTGCAAACGCAGAGAATAGGCCATTTCCGAGTTCCCCCGGGCCTCGTGCAAATAAAACTCATTTTCACAAGAAAAGGTGCGCACCTAGCCTCATTTTAAAAGTGAGGGTTTTTGGAACTCGGAAGTGGCCTATTTTCCTTGCAAAGGAGGCATAGTGGTGAAATTTGCTCGTCTGACGTAATCATGCGTAAGGACCGTTCTCTGGTCATGACGCATGCACGCAGGAATGTAGAGATGAATCTGAAATCTACAGCTGCCAACGGATTCAACTTCATTAATGGAATTTTGAGGGAGGAGAGTACCCTTGACCTGGCTTGACTGTAAAATGTAAATACGTTGTCGAGACTTTTATCGACTATAAGATTTTTCTGACGAGGAACCTTTTTAATGTTTTAGAAAATCTTTTAGAAAACACGCAGTGAATTTATTCAGGGGGAAGCAATAATCTATCAACAGTGACGTCTGTAATTAAGGTTAATTAGCAACAGTAATACCGGTCCCTCGTTCAGATTTCCTGCACGTCATAGTGAGAAGGTCATGGCTTGGCCAATTACAGCGGAACCTCTCCTTTGGGATACCTCTGTTCAAAGGACACAAAATTTAGTCGGGGAGAAAAGTTCACATAAGCTTTGTATTTGTTACCTGTATGATTGAAGGATCACCTCTATTTAGGGGAAAAGGACACTTTTCTGGGCCTTTTAAATCCAGTTTTAGCCTTCGTTCTGGGGACACCTTGGTACTTAAAAAGTGACTGACCACAAAAAGGGTTGATAAGTTTCATATATTGTTCATTGGTCAAAATGGCCACAGCTTCAACCATAAAACATGGTGAACTATCTCACTAAAATAGGTGTACTAAACTGGTGGAAATTCATTGATCAACACACGAAATCATGAATGATTTTTAATGCCGTTATCTAGCTGCTTGAATTTGATACTGGCTGTTGCAACGAGTAATGGATTAATGTTTGAAATAGTCTATTGATTAATGGAATCTATGGGGGTACGCTAAGGCTGGAGTGACCGTAAGTGAAGCGGTTCCTGACTATGCTATACCCAAACACAATTGCAAAACCCACAAAGTTGGTACCTTTTTTACATCAAGATTTTTCTTGATTTTAATTAAATTGACGGTTTTTTCTAATTGGGCCTTTACGAGTCAACATTAATAAGGCAACACTTCACTGGCTAAAGGCGATTATGGCAAAAGAATAGAGTCGTTTAATGGATATCATCCTCGTTCCCAGGTTTCCCGCCCCTTGGAGCTACGAGGAGAAGGAGGAGCGTCCTGGGTATGAGGTCGGTTTTCTTTATTTTACTTGTACTAAGCAACACATAGTCGTCTTTCGATTTACGTGCTAAAAAAAATCAATTAACACAATTGATGTAACTTAATTTAGTGAACGGTTGACGTACAGAATTTAATGCAATGAGTAATTTTTATTTTCTGATAGTTTTTCTCAAGAGGATCAAGGCCTTAGTCAAAGGGGTGTTCGGAGCATATGATTGATTGGCAGTATATCTCGAGTGATACCTACAACGAAATAATTTTTCCCCAAAAGGAAATCTTGAGGTCTCCTTTTGCCTTAACATTTAATAATTGACACGTGACATGTCACGTAAACAAAAATTCAAAATGAAGGAAATTGGAGAATTGGTGACGAATTTACTTTGTTCGGATAAATAACTTGGTATTTGTGATAGAGAGTAAACAATACCTTACTTTCTACGTTTGGAATTAAATGCCCATTGTTTAAAACATTTAGAAAAATGGTCACTTGACATATCATGTGACTTATTCACACAACATTTATTCTTTAAAATGTTAAGGACGATGAGTCCTTTATGTGTGCCAAATTTTGCTTCAGCGTCATAATCTGTGCCGAAGTTATCGCCAATAAATTATTTTCCATAGTTAAACCCATTAGTCCCAGGCCTTAAATTACTTTAGTTGATTAGTTACTAATAAATTTTTGTTAATGTTATAAGCAAAACAGTAGCTTTGTGTCATTACTTTTTTTTACCTTTTTTAATGCACATTTTTTTCGCGTTTACAATTCTGTACATTCTTATGCATTGGGTCATTCAAAGCAGTCGTCGATACAAAGTGAAAAATGGAAAGCAACGGAAGACTGAAAATGTCATTAAAATGCTTTTAATGGCGTCTTTGCCTTGCATTGGCCAGCTAATAATTTTTATTTCCAAGTTTTGCTATAAAACGCTAATGTTTGTACCTCACGGCAGCTGACCTACTGAAATAACCGGTCCCTACTCACAGTCTCCTCTCGTATCTGGCGTAAAACGAAAAAAACGTCCACTGGCTTAAAGATGTCTTCTTCCAGCAAACGAAGCTTTTCTTTGCTCAGTTTCCGAGCAGCAGCGGTGAAGCGGCCATCCAACTTTGGTTTCCAGTTATCGACCGTTGAACTCTCGGGAGTGCTTGAACGACGGTTACGCCTGCTGTTGGTCGGATCACTGGACTGGCGTTTCGCATTATGGTGCTTGTTAAGTGCGTTTGGCCTGAACTTAGACACCGTTGTAGTTCTCGTCAGCGGTTTGTGAATATTACCTTGATCGGGAACCATAGCTGAGAAAATCCTCAAGTTTCGCTGCCTTTCTACTTCTTTCAACACCGCAAACATGCTTGGAAATTTCTCAATATCAATGCACAAACTCATGATTCTGATGATTGCTGTACATACACTCTCCACTGACCAGGAAATGTAAACTTCGAACGAGGAATATAACCTTCGAGCTAGTTCTGGTAGATAATTCAGTGACTGGCACTTTCCCGCCATTTATAGACGTCAGGAATTCACTGATTAATTGAAAAATTCTCCTCAGCATATCGTTCCACTTTCAAGCATTCGGGTGATAAGAAAACAGAAACTCATTAGTTACCGAGTGTCGTAAATACGGTTAATTGAAATTTTATACTGGGTATTTCCTGCACGTCACGACTAGAAAGCTAGCCTGCGTCGTAGATGTAATTTAACGGACTTAATCAGAGTTTAGTTTCGTTTGTGGCGCAAGCTACTAGAAAGCGAAAACAGTTAATTAAAGCTGCCACGTAAATCAGCATTTATCCCGATTTAAATGCAATTATAGGCCGTTGAAAGTGACGGTAGAAAAAAAAACCTTGAATACCTTTACGTCACAAAAAGGAGATAATACTATTCATTATTGCTGCCACGAGTAAACTGGTTCTTTTAAAAATTGGTTTCATTCCGTCAACGACGTTATCCGGTAATTCTAAAGACTAAGTAATTTGAAAGAGCCCGTTTTCGGTGCGGGATAATTTCTTCACCTTTGTTCCAAAATTTCAGTTTTAAAATTAATAAGGCGTTCTACACTCTATGATCAGTAATCAAAATAGCCATTTAAATGATAAAACAAGGTATGACTTTATTCAGGGGGGAAACAATAAGCTATCAACGATGACGTCTGTAACTTGGGTCAATTAGCAATAATCATTGATGGGCTCCCGCAACAATAATGTCTCTGTGATTTCCTGTTCGTCATAGTGAGGTAAGTTATGGCTTCATCAATTAGCCATGACCTGACCAATTAGCAACTAAATTAATTACCCGAAAAACCACTGATTTATTTGTCGGTGTCCATTTGTTGTTTGAAATCAGCGTTGTTGGTTTTTTTTCTCTGCTCTCTGCTCTGTGTACTTTTTTCTGTGACTCCGGTTCTCCTCTCTTCTAAAAAAAATACAGTCCAAATTCCAGTATGATCCAGAAAATGGCTCCAGTTGCTAAGGGTTATAAGTGCCACACTTCTCCAAACAACGTTAGCTTGATTTGGTTTTCGATTTGATGCAGGCTTATTCGGCCCATTTTACAGTATATACTGAATTGAATATTAAAATTCAGTTGGCGGGAAGAAAGCAGTTGTCAGTTGACCGAGATACCAAAATCCTTATTATTTCTGCCACTGCGGAGCATGGTCCGAGGCTAGCTAATCACAATGGAAAAAGACAATGAAAAGAGCCAGTAAAATACAAGCAAATACCCCATAGCGCGTGTTCGCGCGGGGGAAGAAGGTGCTAGTAAGTCGAGATTTGGTTTTGGTTTCTTCTTATTAGTTAAAGATGTTCCTACGAGTCTCGAAAACCAACCGAAAAGCACAAGTATATTAGCCTCCCCGCAGACGTCCTTTGGGATTCGTTTGTCACGCATTCATTTCTCCCCCACGGACCGTGGGGGAAAAATGAATGCGTGACAAACCAACCTCGCCCCCAGGGCTTTTCCGTTAATGATGACAAACGAACCCCAAAGGACGTCTGCGGGGAGGCTACAAGTATAGTTACATAAATAAGCAAAACCAGTCACTGAACACTTAAGCTTGAAACTGCCTGGTTGCGAACGACGGGTCGTTTTATAGCCTTCCAAATTAAAAGAAACAAATATTAAACGGATAGTATAAAACCCATACTTTCGATATCATTAGCATTCTGTTCAAGGCGGGGGCCATGTTGACCCAAGTATATAAGCTGCTTACTCAACTGAAGTCAATGTACAAATAAATTAATACTATAAATAAATAAAACATAAAGAACAGGGGTGGGGAAAAGTGATAAACAGGAAGTGGAGGTTTCAGTCAGATGCAGTCAGCGGATGTGTGCGCATAGGAATACGAGGCCTTTCTGAAAACGTAAGCTATTAAAAAACTAACCAAAATCCGAGAGAGAACCAATTGTACACTGATCCGGCTGAGCAAAATCAAATGATCATTTGGTGTATAAACATCCTGTGTGAAATATTTCTGAGAGTTCAAATTTCAATGTTTGCCTCCTCAGGGAAGTTGTTTTGTTCTTCTCGAGTTGCTACCGCTGAAGCGAAATATCAAGGTAAAGGTTAAGTGAACCATTGATATTCATGTAAGATTTAGAAGCCGACAGCTCGAACTTTTTCCCATACACCAGCCAAACCGCTTGTTCAAGGCGGGGGCCATATTGACCAAGTACTATATAAGCTGCCTACTCAGCTGAAGTGAATGTACAAATAAATTGATAAATAAATAAATAAATAAATAAATAAAAACATAAAGAACAGAGAAGTGGAAAAAAGTGATAAACAGGAAGTGGAGGTTTCAGTCAGATACAGTCAGCGCATGTGTGCGAATAGGAATTCGTCTGCCGAGGCCTTTCTGAAAAAGTTAAACTTATTTAAAAACTTACCAAAATCCGAGAGAGAAGCAATTGTACACGGATCCCGCTGAGCAAAATCAAACGATCATTTGGTGTATAAATGTCCCGAATGAAATATTTTAAGAGTTAAAATTTCAATGTTCTCCTCCTCAAGGAAGTTGTTCTGCTCGAGTTGCTACCGCTGAAGCGAAATATCAACACAAAGGTTAAGAGTACCATCGATATTTATGTAAGGTTTAGAAGCCGACAGCTAGAACTTTTTCCCGTAAACCAGCCAGAGCGCTTTTTTTCTTGGAGAAAATGAGCGAGATGGGTATGTTAAGTTGTGTTTTGTTGCTAGGCAATCGATAAATAATTAATTAAGAGCTTAAGACTCAGCTCGTTGATACGCGTTTAACTTTGCCAAGTTATTCAGCACAGCAAATATGTTCCCATACTGTTGAGCCCAAAGCCTCTTATCAGACTGGTAAACAATTTAGAGAATAAAACAGCACCAGTGAAAATCGCTCAAGTATTTTTGGCTTCGTCTTTGTGACGAGAATACGAAGCAGCATGTAGTTTATTTCTCTTCGTGACTGAAAATATAAAAAGCCAATGAGCCTAAGTAAATTGTTCTGATGATCAGGTATAGTGTTGATATTTCTTTTAACTCCACGTACGTTGCAGCCAAGTTATTTGTCAATGACTTCTGTAACTGATGCAGTCCCCAAAGCGGGCGAGTTTCCCACGTTAGGTCTTTCATGAAGAAGTTTTTTTCTAGACTGAAAACTTATTGCTCCCGTGTGTGCCTCATACAGCTAAATTTGTAGTCAAAATTCCTATAAAAGACGTATTGCACAAGCTATAAACAGAACTCGCGGTAATTTAACATTTTTGCCTTTACAAAACAATCTTCTAGAAATGGTGGGGGAAACAAAAGCACAAACTTGACAGCTCGCCGATATATTAACAAAAAATGAAGTAATTCTACGTTTAATTGTAACACTGATAAAAGAAGGCTTATCAGTTCCTTTAGTGGTACTGAAATGAGGATGGGAAAAATGAACAAAAATGAAGTAATTCTACGTTTAATTGTGACACTGACAAATAAAAGGCTTATCTGAAATGAGCATGGGAAATTCTTTCACATTTTGCAAAGGACCATTTGCAGGGGCACAGTACTAGAATACCCAAACTAAGCAAACAGTGACAATCACTGTCGATTATTTTCCAAGATTTTTGTATGCTAGAAGCTTAATAAGTGGATTCATGCTACTCTTGAATAGTTCAATATACTGATTTCAATGAAGTTTATTCTTCTCAATATAATCGCAGTGCGATGGTCTAAAAGATTAATACCAAAAAAATCGTATTAAAACTAGTATATATTGGATATATCATTTGGCCTTAGAATCAGTTGATTTATGAATTTTACGAGGTAATACTGTTAAAGTCACATAATTACATTTTATCACACTTTTAGCTTTGTGTTATGCTACAATCACATTTCGACTTTTAAAACAAGCACTAGTAAGTATTTAAATGATGTCATTTTATGCGTTTAGCTAATTACAGTTGTGGTACCTCTTCCAATTGCAACAGTGCAAGTGAAATTTAAAGAAAAACAACGAAAACAGTCACTATTGGTCTTCAAGGACATTTTCACTGAGCAGCCAAGTCACGCTCTACTTAAGACTATTAAGAATTCCAATCACGGTGATGGAGGCGAAAATCAGCCGAGAATCTATACCGGTTATGCCTGCAGTGTTAGGATTAAATTCGTACAACTGAATCATTGTTCCATTCACTTCCTTCTCCACTTGTGTACACTGGGTGTTGTCCACGACAGGGATTCCGTAGCGAGCCCGAGAGGTTACTGTGAAAGTCTTGTCTTTGACGTCGTTCAAAGGAACTGTGTTGTTGACGCCGGAGAAGGTCTTGTCGTTCAGACGATTCTCGTATTTCACTGCTGCTCTCACTTCGGTGATGTTGTTTTCGATTCCTCCTGTCAGTGTAAGTTCTTTGGAAGATTGTCCCAGGCACAGGCTTCCATTGGAGTCCAGTAAGCTCACTCTTTCGGACGACAACCTCACGGCTCTGTTTTCAGGAATGGACACGTAACTTCCATGGACTGGAAAGCCACCTCGATAAACTGGAGCTTCACTTAGTTCGTATCTGGTCACATTATAACCAGCCACCACATTGTTAAACAACTGAGTGCGCAAACCGAGCTTCGTTTGTAACTTGATAACTGGAGAACTGAACTTGGTTGCCTCTATCGGCGTGGTCTTGGTGATTCTTGGCTCGTGCTGAGTCGGAACTGGAACAGCAGTAGTACCCAAACGCGTAGTGCGTCGTCTAGTACGACTACGGCGTGAACTTTGGGCACCAACGTCATTTATCAGCAGCAAAACTGCCAGAGTTACGAGGAACAAGACGATTAAATATCTCATGTTTCTAGACCATTCATGGGATTCGTAGCAGGGCAGGTGTCAAGTTGTGTGTGTTGTCCTGACTATGCTACACTCTGTGCCCTTAAAAAAGTATCGAAGAAGCCAATATTCAGTTGAACAAACACTGACTCATCTACTTCCTCATAGCATGTTTTTTTCCAAGTTCATAGGTTAGTGGAAATTCCGGAATCTTTGCCGGAGCCGTTTGAACTTTACTCGCACGTCAAGGCGGACTCAATTTTTTTTCGAGTGATCACGTCATTAGATCACGTCATCGTACGTTACGGTAAAATTACAATACAAGACAGCACTTAAGGGAACTAAAGAAAGCTAACATTGAATACAAGATGAAAAGCTAGTGGGGGGACGACACTTGGCTTCGAAGTTGTGTTCTGAAAGCTGCGACTATTTCTCAACCAATGTAGCTTAGTTCTGAAAAATCGTAAAGTGAATGCACTTTACCAAGGCCAACGTTCCATTTTTTGCATTGGTAGCTGACCTTAATAAATGTGTGTGAGTCCTTCGGTACTAGACTTAAGCTTCAGCACTTAAGAACTTGAAATCACTTATAGAAGTCAGCTTGACTGCCGAAACACGTCGACTCAACAACCATTACGTAAATTATGTCTAGCCGACATATATTCTGCTTGTACTGTTGCACAACTTAATTTGCAGTCACTTGGCCGATAGATTTCAAGGTAAGTCCATCTTGCTACGTTGAACAATCCTTTAATGACCTATCGTTATAGTAGAATGAAAATCATTCAGGAGGGCCTACGGTGAAAATGGGCTTGCGCACTCCCAAACTTTTAGAAATATCGTTGATCAGAAAATCTCACCACAAGATCATTCCATTCTTACTGATGCTGAAGCTGACTACGCTGGGTTTAACAGGGTTGATAAGGTAGATTGTCCAGCGTTGTGAGCTAGAGAATCGAGTTTCGTGCGTTAGCTCTGACCAAACCACACCACTACCCGCAATCTACACACACAACCCACTATCCCCGGATTCGCTCTGGAGAAAGGGGCTAGTGTTTGTAAGGTCAGCTCCTCTATCTCCATGCAGAAGCCAATCTATCTTATCAACTCACTTAACACGAAACCAAATCATTGTATCCACCTACGCAACACCACAGTTTCTTTAGAAACTAAACCCTTAGTTATTCTCTTACTTTCACTCACTCGGTCGTTTTCTTCAGACCTCTTTTAAGTTTCTCCCTTATCACTGATAACTATTTAATAGCTATATATAAATTCAAAGGGCTAGACGGCAAATTGTTGTGCTCGAGTTATCACCTGGACCTAATTGATTGTTTTTAAATTAGGGTTCGTCCTGTGGTTTGACCTTGTTTTTGCCGGTATCTACGTTGTTTAATTTATTGAGGGCTGAAACACAATATTGGTCTGAATTTCTCAAATCCTACTGTTTTTGTGTTTATTCCAACCATCATCTTGGCCGATGAACCAAAGAACCATAGAAACCGATATGGCGACTATAACATTGTATCAAAGTACTTTTATTGTGCGTATTTTCGACCTCGTTTTATGAAAAGTTGAATGGGCCGACGAGCAAAAAGCATGCCAACATCTCCACACTTTAATAAAATATTGTACAAAATTCTTTTATCTTTCAATACTCACGTATTGATAAATAAGTGAAGTGATGTTAGCCATTTTTTTTAAGAAGTACGTTGGTCGCTTTTCAGGGTACTGCAGAATGACAATAAACAGCTGAGTGATAATAGTCTATTGTGTTCACAAATATCGCAATCAACGACCGAAACGCTATTTTTAGGTAATCATAAAGATCAGAGGCCGATAACTACCCTTTACCTTTTTACTCTATTAAAATCTACTGAATTTAGATAATACTGCGTTTTAACTGATATCTTCACTCTGTTAGCCTTATCAAAATAGTCGCCAGCATTGCGCATATAAAAAGCGTGGCACCGCTGTCAACTGTTATGGACGATTTATTACAGTTGTCTTCTGTACAACAGAAGACGTCACATTTGTCGTCACCAGGGGCCTTGCATGGTGGCTTATTGCACTTACGTGCAGACTGGCACCCTCGTTTGAATTTTTCTTCAGTTCTGCTAGAAGCTTTGATATGCGTCTTCATGCAATGATCCAAGTCAAATTCCTTCGCACACTCGACATGTTTCAAACGTTTATCACAATCCTCAAATGAAACATAGCTTTCGCAGTAGTTGCACCGGATTGCCTCACCTGAATGACAAAAGAACGACCCAATGATTATTCTATAATGCTGTTTACCTTTGTTTTTTTGGGGAAAATAAGCCTAGAACTACTGTTAGTTGATATTCTGGATAGAAAAGAGGCTTTCTAGACTAAAAAAAAATAAAATTGTATCTTAAACCAATACGCAAAATTCGAGTTTTCTCAAAGCGTTAACCAATGATTTGGGGTCGAAACTTGGAAATAATGTCCCCATTTTCATTTTTGCAAATTAAGCCTAGAGATAATCTAAGTTGAAATCTGTACAACAATATGCTACTAAAATTGAGTGCTTCCAAGACTTAAAAATAGCGCCGTACCAAGAAAACGGCACAAGATCTGGAAGGCACTTCGCCTCCCTTCTTTACGCTTTCCATGGTCCCTTGCTCTTCGTCACCAGTCACTCGACTTTCGCGCTCGCTTCTATTCGAAACCATGCGAAAAAACGAAGCGCCTAAAGAGGCCGAGGCTGTTTTGTCAGAATATTGAGATTTTTCTATCTTTTGTTTTGATGCAAAATAAATAAAAAAAATTTGTTTGGTGAAATTCTAGAAAGAAAGGAATCTTTTTTAGACTGTATTGTTTCAAAGGGGTTAGTCCACGGTTTTTGTCAAAAATTGATATTTTTCGATCTTTCTTTTTTTGAGAAAAATAGATCAAGAAAAAATTGTTTTGTGAAGATCTTGAAAGAAAAGAAGCCTAATAATAATAATAATAATAATAATAATAATAATAATAATAATAAGACATAATTTTAAAAGTACTCAAATTATTAATTTCTTTTTTTTCAAAGGAATTAGTCCATGCTTATTGTCAAAAAAAAATTGAGTTTTTTTCATCTCTTAATTTTATGCAAAACAGACCAAGGAAAAAGTGTTTGGAGCAGTTCTGGAAAAAAAGCCCTTTAAGACTAAAAAGACATCCATTTTTAAGGGTACCCAAATTTTGCATTCTCCCAAAGGGGTTAGTTCATTGTTTATGCACATCTAGAATTAAGTGTTCGAGACGTTGTAGATAGGAAACAAACCTTTATGTACTACAAACAGATCGCTGGAAAAATTTGCTTAGATTTGCAAATCTTCAAAAATAATTTTTTTAACGCAAAAGGTTCAAGAAAAAGTGATTGATTAGGTTCTGGAAAGAAAAGAAGCCTATAAGACTATAAAACCGTCGATTTAAAAACCCCCAAAATTTGCAATTTTGCGAAGTGGTTAGTTCATGGTTTTTGTCAAAAAATTAATTAAAAATTTTTCATTTTATTGTTTTGAGACGAAATGGATCAGGAAAAAGTGTTTGGTGAAATTCTAGAAACAAAAGAAGCCTATTGAGACTATGACAACATGGGTCTATAAAGAACGCCCAAAATTTCCATTCTCCCTAAGGGGTTAGTCCAAGGTTTTTTGTCAAAAACTTTTAACTTTTTCATTCTTTTCTTTTAATGAAAAATAGATAAAGAAAAAGTGTTTGGTGAAGTTCTAGACAGAAAAAAAGCTTATTTAGACTATGAAAACATCCACTTAAAACATGCATAAAATTTGCTTTTTTTCCAAAGAGGTGTAAATCCTTGGTTTTTGTCAAAAAAAAATGAAAATTTCCATTCTTCTGTTTTGAGGCGAAATGGATCAAGATCAAAAATGTCCATTTTTCTAAATGGGTTAGTCTAAGGTTTTTGTCAAAAAATAAAAATTTTTCATTCTTTTCTTTTAAAAAACAAATTATAACGAAAAAGTGTTTGGTGAAAATCTAGAAAGACAAGAAGTCTTGGACTAAAAAAAAAAACATTCAACAAATGCTCAAAATTTACATTTTTTCCATGGTTTTTGCCAAAAAATCCAGATTTCTCAATCCTCTGTTTTACTGCGAAATGGTCAACAAAAACACTTTGTTGAAGTTTCTGAAAAACAAAAAGAAGTCTTCTTAGACTTTAAAAAGATCGATTTCAAAGCCCCCAAATTTGCATTTTTTTCAAAGGTCCATAGTTTTTGTTAAAAAGCGAAAATTATTCATTCCCCTGTTTTGACGCGGTACGCAAAATGGATAAAAAACGTTCGCTAAGGTTCAAGTAAAAGTACAAGCCTATTTTATTCAAAATGGATGAAGAAAAAAGTGTTTGGTAAAATTCTAGACAGAAAAGAAGCCTATTGAGACTATTAAATCATCAATTTAAAAAATACCCAAAAATTTACATTTTTCCATAGTTTTTGTCAAACAGGGCAGATTTTACCATTCTTTGTTTTAATGAAAAATGGATAAATGGCAAGTTATCGAACTTCTTTTTTAAGGCAATATAGGCCAGGAAAAGATCTTTTACGATATTCTAGAACGAAAAAACGCCTTTCTAAGCAATAAAAACCAGAAATTCAAAAAGTCAAAAAAAATGACATTTTCCCAAAGGGGTTAACCAACGGTTTTGGTCCAAAAATGGCCATTTTTCCAACTTTTTTATTTTAGGCAAAATAGGCCAGGAAAATGTCTTTTACGATATTCTAGAACGAAAAAACGCCTTTCTAGGCTATAAAAACAAGAAGTTCAAAAAGTCGAAAAATTGACATTTTTCCAAAGGGGTTAACCCATGGTTTTGGTCCAAAAATGGCCACTTTTTACACTTTTTATTTTTAGGCAATATAGGCCAGGGAAATGTCTTTTACCATCTTCTAGAACCAAAAAGCTCCTTTCTAGGCTCTAAAAACAAGAAATTCAAAAAGTCAACGAATTGAAATTTTTCCAAAGAGGTTAACCCATCGTTTTGGTCTAAAAATGGTCCATTTTCCCACTTTTTTTTTTAGGCAATATAGGCCAGAAAAATGTCTTTTACGATATTCTGGAACGAAAAAACGCCTTTCAAGGCTATAAAAACAAGAAATTAAAAAAGTCAAAAAATTGACATTTTTTCAAAGGGGTTAACCCATGGTTTTGGTCCAAAAATGGCCATTTTTCCTACTTTCTTTTTCAAGGCAATCTAGGCCAGCAAAATGTCTTTTACGATATTCTAAAACGAAAAAACTCTTTTCTAGGCTATAAAAAAAAAGAAGTTTAAAAAGTCGAAAAATTGACATTTTTCCAAAGGGGTTAACCCATGCTTTTGGTCGAAAAATAACCAATTTTCCAACTTTTTTTTTTAACAATATTAGCCGAGGAAAATGTCTTTTACGATATTCTAGAACAAAAAAACGCCTTTCTAGGCTATAAAAACAAGAAATTCAAATATTCAAAAATTGACATTTTTTCAAGGAGGTTGACCCATGGTTTTGGTCCCAAAAATGGCCAAGTTTCCAACATTTTTTTTTAGGCAATATAGGCCAGGAAAATGTCTTTTACGATATTCTAGAACGAGAAAACGCCTTTCTAGGCTATAAAATCAATAAGTTTATCAAGTCGAAAAATTGATATCTTCCCAAAGGAGTTAACCCATGGTTTTGGTATAAAAATTGGCATTTTCCAACTTTTTTTTTTTAGGCAGTTGAGGCCAGGAAAATGTCTTTTACGATATTCTAGAAGGACAAAACGCCCTGTTAGGCTATAAAAACAAGACGTTTAAAAAGTCGAAAAATTGACATTTTTCCAAAGGGGTTAGCCCATGGTTTCGGTCCAAAAATGGCCATTTTTCCTACTTACTTTTTTAAGCCAATATATCCCAGGAAAATGTCTTTTACGATATTCTGTAACGAAAAAATGCCTTTCTAGGCTATAAAAACAAAAAGTTCAAAAAGTCGAACAATTGACGTTTTTTCAAAGGGGTTAACCTATGGTTTTGGTCCAAAAATGGCCATTTTCCTACTTTCTTTTTTTAGGCAATATAAGCCAGGAAAATGTCTTTTACCATATTCTAGAACGAAAAAACGCCTTTGTAGGCTATGAAATCAAGAAGTTTATAAAGTCGAAAAATTGACAGTTTTTCAAAGGGGTTAACCCATGGTTTTGGTCCAAAAATGGCAACTTTTTACACTTTTTATTTTTAAGGCAATATAGGCCAGGGAAATGTCTTTTACCATCTTCTAGAACCAAAAAGCTCCTTTCTAGGCTCTAAAAACAAGAAATTAAAAAAGCCAAAAAATTGACATTTTTTCAAAGGGGTTAACCCATGGTTTTGGTCCAAAATTGGCCATTTTTACTACTTTCTTTTTTTAGGAAATATAGCCCAGGAAAATGTCTTTTACAATATTCTACAACGATAAATCGCCTTTCTAGGCTATAAAATCAATAACTTCAAGAAATCGAAAAATTGACATTTTCCCAAACGGGTAAACCCATGGTTTAGGTTTAAAAATGCCCCTTTTTTAAACTTTCTTTTTTAACGCAATATAGGCCAGCAAAAGGTCTTTTACGATATTCTAGAACAAAAAAACAATTTTCTAGGCTATAAAAACAAGAAGTTCAAAAAGTCGACAAATTGACATTTTTCCAAAGAGGTTAACCCATGGTTTTGGTCCA